CTTTCAGGGGGTGTGTGGTGCCGGTGTGCCTCACTGAGCCCCTCGGATGGGCAGCGAGGGGCAACCTTCACCTCCTGACCGAGGGAAGAGGAGCCCTGTCTGCGCCCGCTCCGAGTCCCCAGGTGCTGGCGGCCGAAGCAATCCCCCAGCATGTAGTGGTGTCCTGGGGTAGCCAGGGTTTTTGGGGCAAGTTCACTGTCTGAAGCATGCCTCAAGGAGCCCCTGTGTGGGGCTGCCCTCCTGGGAAGGTCCGTGGCTGGCTGAAGCGGCTTTGGCAACTCCTGGTCACAGGCTGCTCTGCCCGTGGCTCTTATCTGATCTATTTTCAACAACCATCTCCTGCTTTCCCATGTCTCCTCCTGATCCCAGCCCTTCCTCTGCCCGCTGTTGTGAGCTGCTCCCCAAGGAGAGTGGCTCTGGAGCGAGTGGGAGGAACTGAGGGCTTGCTGGAGCTGGTGAGGGTGGCATGACTGACGCCGTGCCCTGCTGCTGCCAAGCTGCTGTCCCTTCCCAGCTCCAGCCCCGAGATGTGGGGACAGTTTGTGGGTTTTGCCCTTTTAAGGGGAGAACTTGGCTGGGGCAAACAGGCTTCCCAATCCCTGCGGTCCTCGCCCTCTGCGGTTGCTGCCCTGGGCAGGGATCCTGGGCGGAGGTGGCCGGGCTCTGCCTCTGGCCCCTGGATGCGGGAAGGCAGCATCCCCCCGTCCCCCTCCCCACTTGCAGTAACAACCAGGCTCCCTAATCAGCCTGAAAACCCTGAATTTGTGAATGCCTTTGAGCTGCCTCAGGGGTTCCGGGTGGTCGGGGTCGGGGGGGGGAGAGCTTGCTGAAGGGGATGCGGTGGCAAGGGAATTCCAGCGTGGCACAAAGAAAAGACCCCCCCTGAGAGATGAAGCAGCTGCGTTGGAGGTGGTCACAACCTGTGCCATGATTTAAGCTCCTGTCTTTCCCGGCTGCTTGTTCCCTCCTTAGCCAGAGGCCACGGCTGCCCGGCAATGGCAAACACTTGCACCTTTCTCACCTGCTTTTGTGCAAAGCTTGTAGCCGGGCGGGGGACATGGTGAGGGCTCCCACCGGTGCCTGATGCGGTGCTGTGGTGCAGGAGCTGGTGCTGGTGTGGGATCTCTCCTGGGAGCTTTATTGCAGGGGAGAAAGGAGCAAACTGCTGGGGGCCCTGACGGCTTGGTGCTGCGGGTGGGTTTCTGGCCAGGGGTGCCCGGGGCTGTTCCTCAGCACCTGGGGCAGCTGGGGTGAGCACCCGCAAACAAAAGCAAGGTCTTTGGCACCCAGGTTACTCCACCACCGGCAGGCGGGTGCCAGCACCCGTGGGCACGCTGGCAGGTCCAAGTAAGCAGCATGAAGTTCAGGGCTCTGCTGGAGGAGCAGAGGCACGTGGCTGCATCCTGGCCCTTCTCGGGGGAGACAGATAGTTGTGCTGGGGGAGAACTAGCACAGGACGGAGGCAAAAAGGCAGGAGTGGGCTTTTCTTTGCGAGGCCAGCGGTGTGTTTCACCTCCCGTGTTTCTTTCCCTTGCAGGACGCACCGACATGCAGCTGGAGTGGCCAGGCAAAACACGGGGAGCGGAGAGCAAAGTCCCAGCGCCCGGAGCCGGCACCGGCAGGAGGCCAAGAGCACGCAGCACGCCAGCATGGCCAACGGCACGGCCAACGGCACAGGTGAGCCAGTGCTCGTGGGAGGTGGCAGGGACAGACCTTGGGGCTGCGTTTGGTAGGAGAAAGTGAATTTCTGCTAGGATAATGGATCTTGTAGTGCCCGGGAATTTCCTCCCTGTGAATTGATTGATTTTTATTGATTTTGCTGTTGATAAGCTGGGCGGCTCCGCAGAGGGCACTGTTAGGATCTGTTCTGCCTGTTGTGAATAACTTCTGGGGCTCCTCTCTGGAGTCTCCCTGACAAAAAGTACTGCATCCAGCTCAGGTTTTTTAAAAGGATACTGGGAGAGCAACGTCACTGGTGGCACAGCAAGGAGTTATCACAGCTGAGCGGAATTCTTCAGGTTTGGGAGCCTTCGGCTGAATTTGCCCATCAGTCTTCAGCAAAACTGTTTTGAGCTCTTTGCCCACCGAAGTAGGGAGGAGCAGTTGTTTTGTCGAGCACAAGAGAAGGCACAAACCCACCCCTCAAGAGGGGACTGATTCTTACGCCAGAGGGTATTTCTGGAAGGGTTCCTCTTGTCTTCCCTTGGGTTTGGCCACCAAGCCATAAGTACCTGCCAGACTACAAAGCTACACGTGGTTTATGTTTTCCCTCTCTGGCTCCATGGAGCTGGCCCAGCAGCGTGGCATCTCCCACTCTCCAGTGCCACTTTTGCAGGCAGCGCCGTCCTTTCTTTTGCTTTTATCAGAGACCTGGAAGGAGAAGCAGAGTGCTTTGTGTTGGGTAGAAGGAAATGTTTTGTTCAACCAAAAAGGAAGATTTTGTTTTTTCTTCTTCTTCTTTTTCTATTTCACTGGAAAAACCTGGAGCAATGCAATTTCAATTTTGCCAAGACCCATTTTGGGAGGGAGTGGGGGAGCGGAAGGCTGGTGTGGAATGCTGCCTTTCTGCCGTCGCTCCTGCTCTGTGCCCCCCTCCCCGGGGCTGTGGCTCACCTCTGCCTGGTTTGGTGTACCGGCTGCCAGCGCTGCGCAGTGTCCCCTCTGCCCACCCAGCCCTTCCCCGCCTCCTTGCTGTGTGGGGGACGCTCCCTCGGGCTGTGGGCAGAGGTTTTTGCTCCTGTGAGTACAACTTGACTCCTTGGCTTTGGTTTATTTAAAACATGTTTTGCTGGCCCGGCCCCAGCTTCCCCCGTGGCTTTATGGTTGTCCTTGTCGCTCTTCACCACTCACCAACCTCCCGCGAGTCCCGTCGGTGATGATTTTACACTTTGGGATGGGGAGAGGGGTGTTTGGGGTGGCCAGGATTAGGGCTGGACACCATGTCTTGTGCTCTGTGGGATGCCTCTAGAAACCATCCTCTTCCTCCTACACTTTGGTGACATTATGGTGGTTTTTGAGAAGACGGTTGCAAGAATGTCCCCATTACATTTGTCACTCATGGCTGTAATTTCATCTGTCGATAAAAGGAGATGATTTCACAGCATGTTTTCTCCACAGCCGCGTTGCTTAGCCCTAGCTGTCTTCCCCCTGGAGCCCTTCCTTATCAGGTGAACTTTGGATCAGCTTTTCCCCTGTTTTGTCCAGGACTGGGATCAAACCGATCACAGCGTACTCACCTGGGCCATTCTGCAGGTTCCTCTGAAGGTTGGCACGATGGGTTTGAGGCCTCTCAAACTGCCTTGCTAGAAATGAGTAGCGGTCAGAGCCCCCCTCACCCGCGTCTTGCAGGACTCTGGTGGGGGCTGCTGTGAACCTGCCGACCTGGAAATCTTCATTGCCCACCGCTGCCCCCTGAGGGGCTCCTTTGGTTGCTGATGCTGTGTCCCAGGATCCCTCTGGGGCTGGAGGATGCTGTCCTGCTTCACTCCAGCTGCAAAGCAAAAGTGTCCTGAGCCGTCTGCTGCTTCTGCAGAGCATCTGTAGTTCTTCACTCTCCTGTCTGGGGTGGTTATACTGGTGTGAGGCTTTTTCCTACAATACTTCCAAATACTTGGGCTTGCAGGGACAGATCCTGCCCTTACAGCTTTCTACATTCCTCAACTCTAACTCGTGGAGGTCTGTCTGCATCCCTTACTTCTTTGTTACTTGTTGCTAGTTTGGTTTTAATGCTTTTGCTTTGCCACTGAAGCCTGGATGTCTTGCAGTGAGAGTTATCCTCTGCTGGGCTGCCAAGTCTCAGGGTTTTTTGGCTATCTTAATAAATATTCGTCAAACAAATTCCCTTTCACTTTTTTTTTTTGGTCTGCATTTTCCTCCTCATGAGTTTTCTTCACAATTTTCCTTTGCTCTGTCTCTTCCCCTTCCCTTTTTGAAAAGTTCAGTGGAATCCAGCAGCACTGAGCTCTCACCAGTGCGGCAGCCGACTTGCAGAGCCTGGGATTCCTTCTGCCTGGGGGGGACACACTGTGCTAACTGCTTTTGAGCTCCTGCTCATTACCTGAGCTCCCGTCAGGCACGCAGCATGTTTGCAAGCGGCAGAAGAGATACTGAGCACAAACACAAAGTGTCTCAGGACAAAAGGCAGGACCACAGGGGGATCTGACTGCTGGGTGAAGGAGGTGCTGCCTTTGCTGCTGGCTGGGAGCACCGGGAGTCCCGTGCTTGGGTGGTAGCGGCTGCCACCCACCATGTGCTCC